TTTTATTATTTTAATATAAATAATTAATGATATTTTAATTTATGTAATATGTCCCATTTTTCAATTAAAAAAGAAAATTGGGGATGTGAACTACACTCTCCAAATTTCTCTAGTATTGGGGAGTTTTGGGGAGTAAGGGGGCGCGTGCAAATGTGCCCTGGCACACCTAGCTAGGTGTGCCAGGGCACACGGTAGTGGTACTGTTGGATACAAGTTATCCCAAAATAATTCAATTATTTTTAATTAAGCATTTTTTTTACTTAAATCTAACTCAATTTTAACCCAACACCACTATTCACAATCCTCCCTATATATTATTCTCGAATGCGTTGAGCCTACGTGGTTGCTTCTGGTGCTTCGGAATCCTACTTGGCAAAGAATCATGCTTCGTAATTAGGTTTGAACAAATAATATTGATATATTAATAGTTAATAATATAGGTTTGGACATTTCATAAATATTATTTAGCTAACTTAGGTATTTTAATATCACTTGTACTAATATAACCTTTTATTTCTTTGTAATTTTACATACTGAGGCACTCAGTGACTAATATATCCCTGACTTTTGATTTGTTTCCTTCAATTAGCTAGTGAATTATAAATGTATTTTAAAAGTTGATAACTTTTGTATTTCTTATCGGTTTTACATATATAATATATCAAATTAATCATCTTTTGATGATCTTCGATTTGACATCCATATTGTATATATGAAATAAATAAATTGTATTTATCTTTATAATAATAAATAATAATAATATTTATTAAAATTGATTAGAAAAATAAAATTATTTCTCAATTGATATCTTTATGTTTAATGTAGTTATATGTTGTAAGTTTAAAAAATTATTATAATATAACACATGTAAGTTGCACAAATAAAAAGTGTCATACTAAATATATAATAATATATATATTTTTATAAAAGATATTTATTTTCAACTATTTTTTCTCATTAATTGTAGATTTTAAGAAAAAAATAACAAGCACCCGTATAATACACGGGCGTTGTATTAGTTATCAATATAATTAAATAATATCAACCAATCATTTTTATACATCACATCAACTTTAATTCACTATTCACACACTCACAAAATTTTAACTAAATATCACCACAAATCATCTATCTCTTACTTTTATATCAAATTATTTTTAATTATGTTATTTCAAATATTATTTTAATATAAACTCAAAATCTCACTAAGACTATCCACAACGGGGCATTTAAATGCCGACCCGTTTAAATGCCAAGTTGGCATTCAAATTGATGTGGCCATCCATTAAAGGTGAAATCCAACGACTGGGAGCATTTAAGGGGTACAAGATTCAATGGGGGCGCAAATTGCATGAAGACGTAATGATTGACGCGTCTGACAGAAAAGACAGGTCGCCAAATTGAATTTCACATTGACAGGTGGAAAAAAAGGCATGGTCGAAAAGCGAAAGAAAGGTCAACGAGTGGTCGATAAATGGATAAAAATACAACGACTGAGAGCATGGACGAACATCTACTCCTGGATCGAGTACCCTATTAACAAATGATATATTATCATTAAATATTTTTTTGAAATACACAACTATTGAGACCGAGAATTTGAAAATTGTTTTACCTTTTGAAATTGAGTTTAGGAAAAACAATAGATTGGAAAACAAAGAATTGATAAACATTACCAAATTTATTATCACACATTTCAAATAAATAAATTGTGATGATTAATGAAAATGATATTTAAAGAATAGTGTTAATTTTTAGAAAGGCACAAATATAAAGACGATATTCTAAAACTTTTATTACCTTTTGAATTGAGATTTTATAAATAAAGAGACTGAAATTTTAATGTTGTTCGTTATTTCAAAGAGAAAAAAAGATGATAAAATGCACCATTACTAAATTTTACTTGGAATTTTTAAATAATAAAATGAATTAAAGCCAGAAATTTAAGATAACCTTTAAAGTTGTATGATTTTTAAAGATAAAAATTAAAATAATAATATAACTTACTATTTATGGGTGCATAAAATTCATTCCTATTTTTTGCTACTATATTTGATAAATTATTATTCTTATTATATAGTTATAAATATAGATTTTTAAATATATGATAAAATTTTACCAAAATAATTATTTTATGGAACTACATTGTATTCAAATCGAATTATGAATAAAATTTTTAAAATGAAAACAATGTAATATTTTAGCAGGTATGTGCACCGTCCGGGTTGTGTACAAATTTTAAATAAACATGTTTTATTTAATTTTGCACACTTTAAATTTCAAATAACATTTTAAATAAACTAATATAGGTAAATTGTATTACATATTGATTCTATATTTTTAATTTATAAATATTTTAAAATAATTTATAAATATTAATAAATATCTTTTACCATGCGTTCTTAATTCTGTTCCCGCTTTCCTTTATTCCGCGTGGTTCATATCAGATGAGATTCAAACTATTTTTCAATAATTAAAGCAGAAAATGCTACAATCCCTTTACGTAGCCATTCCGTTTGAACTTGTAATTGTTCGATACACACGTTACACTAATATAAATATGCATCTAACTGTTACAAATCTCAACAAAATGATTCGGTAACGAGACTGTAAACCTGACCCTAAAATTAAAGCATGCCTTGTAAACTTGTTAAAAT